TGACCTGGTGAGGAAATCTGCTGCTGCTCCTACTGGACACTTAGACGCCAAGGTCTTTTCTTTCCTGCAATTATTATTTATGATTGCTCAGCACCAACACAATTCCTGCACCAGCAAAGCTATTTTAGAGTTACTACTGACTCATACCAGATTCCTCACCATCAACCTCATGAGAACACGTATGAGCGCAGCATCTGCTTCTCTGTTCAGTCTGCGCTGAGGTTTCCTGGAAGTGAATGGAGTGGAGAGTGTAGGTAACAGGCTCGTGCCCGAGCTACCAGTGAGACTGGGAAAGTGAATCCTACAGACTAACTTAGGGAGGTGGGACTGTTAGCTGGGACTTCCTCAGACATTAGAAGGTTGCTGAAAAGGTATGAAGGAGTAAGAAAACATAGTAAATGGCCACAACAAAATGTCATATATTAAGCATTTCTGTTTTTACCTAACTTTACCCCCAGTACATATTAGTAGAATCAGAAAATACAGTGATGGATAGAACCTTAGAGATCATTTGGTTTCATTCTCTCATTTTACTAACAAGAAACTTGATGCCCAAAATGATTAGATAATTTATCCAAACTTACATAACTAGTCAGTAGAAAGAACTCATGCTTTTGAACACTTCATGTATTTTCTATTATTCACTTATCTTAATGTTAAACTTAATTCTAACCCTCAAGGAAATTCAAGGTTGGTCTTTAGAAAGTTATTTCAGTGACATTGGCCATTTTTCTCGCAATGTATTGATTTCATCAGTTTCTGGAAAACCAGCTATAAAACTGAATTTTATATACAGAATTCTATTTTCTGTTATTACCCATGAAAATAAACTAAAATTAAGCTTCAAATATGTTTTAACCATAGTTTGTATACTTTCTGACTGGATTAAAACTTCCCCTAGCACCATACACAGAAATAAAAACCTCAAAAATGGATTAAAGACCTACATGTAAGAACAAACACTACAAAACTCCCAGAGTAAAACATACGCAGAACAGTCTTTGACATAAATCACAACAGTGATTTTTTTGGATCTGTCTCTTAGAGTAATGGAAATAAAAGCAAAAGTAAATAAATGGGACCTTAAAATTAGTTCTGCACAGCAAAAGAAACCATATATAAAACGAAGAGACGACCTACAGACTGGGAGACAATATCTGCAAATGATGTGACAGACGAGATTAATTTCTAAAAAATACAAACAGCTCATACAGCTTAATATAAAAACAATCTAATCAAAACTGGGCAGAAGATCTACATAGACGTTTCTCCAAAGAAGACATACAGATGGCCAACAGGCACATGAAAAGATGCTCCGTATCACTCATTATTAGAGAAATGCAAATCAAAACTACAGTGAGGTATCACTTCACACACACACTGGTCAGAATGGCCATCATTAAAAAGTCAACAAATAATAAATGCTAGAGACGGTGTGGAGAAAAAGGAACCCTC